AAATACAAAGGGCCTAGATATAGATATACTAGGCATAAAAATACTCACCAAATATGAGGACATTCCATCGGATGATTTAGCACCATGGGTATCCAAGTACTCTCTGAGCCGCGTAAGACTTTCTCTCATTGCATGAATGTTGTCAATCCCAAAAAAAACTATCTGTGGAGGACAATGAAAACAATATGATGTTAGTCAAGCATCCTACAATCGAATTGTAAAGAAAGAACAAATACAACCTCAGAGGCTCAGCCTAACCTCAGATTGGAAATAATTTGATGATGATTCTGAGCCACCTCCCATAGCTCCGTTTGCTAAAGCATTTTTTCTAGGCCTTGCATCAGCTATATAAAGCTTCCTAAAACAACATTTTAAAAAGTAAATATATTTTTCTCCAAGAGTAACAACATGAAAAAACTAATAATAATATTAAATAAATAAAAGAGCACTAAATCTAAGTTAGAATGAATAATGGAAAATCATACTTTCCTAAACTTGATGCATTGTAGTAAATAAGTAATAACAAGAAAAAATAGAATTCAACAACACCCTCTTGGTGTTCAGAGTAAGGGGGACATCTCATCTTTACCCCTTCATTTCTGTACATATTTTTCCTTCAACAAACTGCTTCTTATCAAGTACACAAAAAAATAATAATAAAACCAACAAACTTCACCAACCAATAGAATTAGTAAATTAATTTTTTTTTAATGAGGATCTAATCTAGCAAATAACCTTATCTCCTTTTTTTTTTACGTCCTCTTTTGATTATATACAACCAAAAAAAAAAATCAATCTAGCAAATAAAATTAACAAAAAGAAACTCTTAAAGATAAAATTGCGGCCCCATATTAACAAAAGATGCACCCTCATACGAAACTTCTAACATTTCAACGTGAAAACAAATGAATGCATTAGAAAAGGGGAAAAAACCCTGATAATAAAATTTACCAATAAAAATTTGTAGCCATACAAATAAAACTTCTGATGCAAAAGCCTAAGGACAGGGCATACTACTTTATTCTTCTCCATCCTTCTTGTATATCTTGTTTCTATGAGAGAAGAAATAACATATTACATCACACATGAGGATGCAAAAGAGAGTATAGGGGTAACATAAACTAGTACTAGGACCTAAGGAGTCTACTGACACTGACAGACACTCCAATTGGTGTGTGTTGGTTAAAAATAAAACAAAAAGGTGACGTCACAATTGCGAGAAGGAAAATGCACCAAGAGAGCTAAAATTCTACTAATCTCTAAAAGTTCTCGTTCTCTAAAATTGTCCACACCAATAGAGCTAAAAATCTAATCATCTAAAATTCTCATTATCTAAACTATTTTTAGGATGACTGTGATTTCCCTCCAACCAAAAGCTGACCACAGAATAGCTTTAATCACTGTACACGACATAAATTTGACCTTGCATTTGAATGAGTGACTATGCAACAATTGCACCAAAAAATCCATAGCAACCCAAAGACCGACCTAGTTCAGCCAAACAGAGCAAACAACCTTATTTTACGCGATGCCAAAAGGTTAATATTCATGAGATCTAATTTGAAAGAGGAAAGTGAATGTATTTTGGTATCTCAAGATAATCGCAAGAGGAGGCATAAATGAAGCCCCGAAAAATGAAGATGCCTTGAGAGGAGAGTTGGAACAACAATCGTTACTCAATGAGGACACATGTTGGAGACAAAAATTTGGATTCAACTATTCATGAGAGCATTGCTAAACTTTGGTCTTTCACAGGCTAGCTAATGCAAGTAGGAAAAGAAATTTAATCAAATTGCTTTCTCTCGCTATGCTGGAGTTTAGCGCACTGTAATGCCTCACAAAGTTCAGACCACAAATTGAAAGGACAATTTTAAATAAAAATAGTAGCTAGCCATGGAAATAGTATTGATACACTCACCTACGAGGTGACCCATGAGCACCAGCGAGATGGGAACAAAGTCCAGCAACAAGCTTTTCATCAGTATTACTGCAATATGCATAAAAGTGCATCAACTTAATTTCCTTATGTCCTATCAATGCATACCTAAATATATGCACCAACATTATACGAAATTCTCTAGATTCCTAGTAACGCAGAAAGTCTAGTTTCCTAGTACCTACAGACAAATGCAAATGCCCAGTATAATAAGTTTTTATATTAATGAAATGGTGCCCTTCGTTTTGACTCCAGCAGCCAAATAACTGTCAGTAACAATTTAATCTATTAACAGGAAGTGACTGGATGCAGGACATTACCTTCTCATATTCATTTTTTGGGAAAGAAAAAAAGATGAATATAAAAGGAGCAGGATGAGCAATCCACTAGACAAGCTAAGGAAAGAAATACAGAAAAGGACCCCAAGTAGATGAAAATTGAAATGCAGACAACATTATAGTGACTAAAATCAGGGTAGAGCATGCACTAAGAACTAAATCCCACGCCTCTTCCTCACCCTCTTAGTCCTACTTTCAAAGATTTTAAGCTTCCTGCCACTCCACATTCCCGAAGGATTTCCTTGAGATCATTAGAACAGATGATATTACCTTCTCATATTCATCATAAGACCAACTAAAGGTTGAGATGAACGTGCAAGAACAGCTCCAGTACCTAAGTTTTCATCAGCATAGAAATATGAGTCTGGACAAGAATAGTGATTAAGAAATCTTAGATGTATAGCATACCAGGATTGCACCACGAAACAACAGGCAAACGGCATCTAGCCCGGAAGGTAGAAGCCTGCAACATTTCTTCATCACTAGCAGTAGAAGAACCACATTATTATTTATTAGTTGCATCAATGACTAAAAACAATCACCAAAAAATAAACTTCTTTAAGAGATTAAACGAACTCTCAAAAGAAATCAAAAAACAGAAAGGAAGCTTTTTCTATTTCTAGAAGTTTTAAAAGAAACAAACTTGTTTCAAAATATCTCAAAAGAAACAAAAAAATGAGTGCCGGAAAATCTTGGATCAAAAAACAATACCTAATGTGCTTTGGTACAACCAATGCAAATGGATAACTCTGACACAGAGCATAACTGGAATTGATGTTAGTTATTCTCCACAACTCATTGGACAATGTAAATGATCCATCTTCAATCATACTCATTGATGCCCAGAGGGAGCTCTTTCCAAGAAGTCGAAAATACTCATTTAGCAAGCGAACTTTTGGGTCTGTATTACTGTACTTGAATGGCCCGGACTTGAATGCATATAGATCCCATATTCTTGCAGGCTTCATACAACTCAATAATCCATCATATACTTTACGCCTCTGTGAATTGCAATACCCACACAAGATCTCAAGTGATGTAAAAGTCAATATGCAATACATTGGAATTTTCTTCCATGTTAAATAAAAATATGCAAATAAATTATATATTTGCAAATAATTACTACAGCATTGTCATAATTTATGATAAAGTTAAAGGAAACTTCTAAAGCAATTGGTTTTTAAATTAGTTAAAGATTCATAAAGACAACATGGAAAAAAAATAATCATAATGGTGGATCAGGAGTTCCAATAAAGACTTAACAAAGAACGAAAGAAATCACAAAATGGCTCTTCAATTATCAAAAGAGAATCCGACAGAACACTGATATGGTCTTTGATATTCTCTTATCATGGTTATTGCAGCTTTTTTTTTTTTTTTTTTTTTTTTGGAGAGAAAGACCAGAGCTCTCGATGTCTGGAAACTTTGTAACCTTTCCCCGCTTAACACAAAGGTCTATTGCTTTCCTAGATCTAATATATTGGTAGAAATCAAATGGAACCTTTTACAATGAAATTAGAGGGCCTATATGGGAAATCTCAAACAAATCACTAACGTCTGCAGGAGATTACTACTGGGAACAAAATTAACCATGAAGATTGGGTTTTATAAGCCTAAAGCCTAAGATATAATTCACAAGAAGGGTCTATAAAAGTACAGACCTGTTTTGTTCTTGGACGAAAACCAAAGACAATAATTCTCATGTCTTTTCCTGCAATACACAAAGGAATAGGACCTTAATTACTGTATTCAGCTACTGTGCTACATACGTAGAGTCAATCAAATAAATAAGTAGAGTCGATCAAATAAATAAATGGGTAAAGTACACTTTTTATCTCTGATGTTTGAACTTGATTTCTATTTGGTCCTTTTGAGTTTTTCAAACCATCACTTTTGGATCCTTAGATTTGGATTTAGTATCTATTTCGTCCTTAAAATTTCAAAAGTGACACATTTGGGCCTAAAATTTGAATTTAAATTTTAATTGGTACTTGAGGTTTGAATTTGATTTCTAATTGATTCTTGAGTTGAGTTAACCATTAGCTGACCTAATAGAATAATGATTCGCGACTAGGCTTGATAATTTATTTGTATTTTTTAAATGAGTTGGCAATTTATTTATTTTTTTTTTTTGCAAGTGGCATTTCTCTCTCTTCCCTTTCCTCTTTCTCCTCCTCCCCTTCCTCTCTCCTTCCTCTTCTTCTCCTCTCCTCTTCTGGCAGAGGCCCACCACTGCCCCTCCACCGCCAGCCTTCGCGCCAACCTACTTCGCAATTTCGTCCAGATCTGTAGCAAATACTCATTGCCGGGAGGGGCTTCTTCTCCTTTGCATCACTGCCCAATCTCAGCCACAGTTGTCAGCCTCCCTTCCCGCTCATAGTCCCTCAAACCGCATAGAATTGGGCATCGAAAACTGCTTGATCTTTGAGCACTTTCTTCTTCTTTTTTTCTTTGTTCAGCTGAATTTTCATCTTGCTGCTTATTCGATGAAGGAAAGTTGGAACTTTCGAGAAAATTTTCTAAAAAAACAGTGTAATCCATTCCATCGTCACGTTTTTGTATTACTTGAAAATTTATCGTTCCTACTACTCTGTTTAAGTTTTAATTTCTTCAAATTTGCCAAGGTATTAGAAATGGAACAGGATCGATTTTGATTTGACTTGACAGGCTCTGTTAGGGTTTTTTCCATATAAACTCAATCCTTTTTCTTGGGTTAATTCGTGGTTCTAACTTGAAGTTGAAGGAACGCAACTCAAAAATTTTCAATAATGGACCATTATGTTCGTACAACAACTCTCTCTTAATTGTGCTCACTCTTCATTAATCTATCATCACCATCAAAAGAGGGGAAGAAGAGAAAGGAGATAGAGGAAAGGGAAGAGAGAGAAACGCCACTTGGTAAAAATATAAAGAATAATAAAATTTGCCAAATAATTTTTTAAAAATACACATTTAGTCAACATATTAACTGCCACATGATCATTTTGTTAGTTCAAATAATGGTCAAAACTCAACTCAAGGATCGTTTAGAAACCAAATTCAAACCGCAAGAACCAATTAAAAACTAAATTCACACCTAAGGGACCATACATGTCACTTTTGAAACAAACTTCAAGGACTAAATAGAAACTAAATTCAAATCTTAACCGAAAAAAGGTGATGGGTTTTAAAACTCAAGGAACAAATAGAAACTAATTCAAATATCAAGGACCAAAAATAGAGAAACCGAGTCCGAACTTCACAAACCAAAAGTATATTTTACCCTAAGTAAATAAAAGGGAAAAAAGATCCTAAACTACAAGCAATATATGAAGCCACCGTTTCTTCAGTTATATTTCATCATTCCAAATAAACCTAATAAAATAAATATCACATAAGATCGGCTAATGAACAAAATTTGCAATGTGGCAGCACATCCCTTAAACCATGTTACCCACAATGCTGTACAGACCAAGACACCTCACTAACACCTATCGAATTTATTTTTTGAGAACAAAAATGTTTCATCTACTCTTACAGAACTCAAATTTTGTTGATTTCCTGCTAATATAAATCATTCATGTAAAGACTATGCATCAACAAATAAGATTATATAACAAAGCGTACCAATGACCTGAAGAAGTCGTCGAGCTGGAGACTTTTCAGATTGGCGAGAGACAGAATTCATCTTCACAACCTAAAACCTCGCAGTAAAAAGACAAGCATACCATTACTCCCAGTTCAAAATCTTATAAGTGGATAGAAGAAAATACCATAACAGGCCAAGTGCAATCAAGTCATGTCAGGAAATTATGAACACATGAAAAGCTAAAAGAAATCTTTTTTCCAAAAAAAAAAAAAAGGCCACCTAAGCTTGCAGGTCATACAGGTTTTAATAAGCGACCACAACTACTGGGATTTGGCAACTAGATAATAATGAAATGATAAAATGCCACAAGCAGGAAAACACGTTGAGATATTCAACTACTTCAGGAAGTGCAATTAAAAAATGCAACAACGTATGTTTCAGGTGATAAGCTATTTAATAGCTGGCTGTCAAGCAAATAACAAAATACAACCTAAACCAACAAAAGAAAATGGAATCTGCAATAAGTTACATTGGGGGCTTGGCTTATCTTCCTGAAAAATGGTTATATCATCCTAGATTAGTCTAGTCTAGAATAGATAACTAATCTAGAAGAGCAGATGGAATCTGAAATAATCGGCATTTGAATCAAATCGAAACTGTTTTTCCTCTAGAAAAAAATTGTCTGCTCGCCCTATGGAAGAGAATCATGAATAACAAACTATAGTGCTCGCAATTGCAAATGATTGTCTGCTAGCCCTACAGGAGAGACTAGCCAAGAACACATTATAGTGCCAAATAAGGGCAACAACACACTTTAGAACACGTCTTGACTTCAGATATATGAATTAGGAACTTACTATTTTGTTGAATTTTTCAATTGTGGCCAGTGGTATAGTCCCAAGGGCAATAACATCCATCGTTCCTTCACTCTATAAAAATAATAAAGAAAAGTTATTACTCATTTAAATGATCAAGCACAAGAGATCTTGTAGTAATAATGACATCTTTATGTCAAAATAAATGAAAGAAGGGTGAAGAGATACCACCACATTGCAGCACGCTTGTATAATTGAAACAAATTTTTAACAAAAAACAGACTCATTAGTTTAAAGATCTCAGCCTGCTCAACTTGCAACCAAACAGAAACAATGAATAGAAGCCTAAAAATAAGGAATATACAAAAACAGAAACGTGTATTATTGCACTTTTCCTGAGCAGAAATAGGACATTGAAGTTAAAGATGTTTCCCCATATGATGCATTATAGTAATCATCGATTCCCTGCTATCTGGCCGACCAACCCAATGGTTCAGGTTTCCACTAACTGATAATACTACAGTAATGATACATAAAATAAAACAATGTCCTTGAGAAGAACAGAAGGCATAAAACAATCTGAAAAAAGCCAACAATTTAATGCTTACAGTCACAGACTATAAAATCAAAATAAGATAAAAGTATTAATCCATTGGAGGACTTACCAGAAATAGAAGACGAAAATTGGTTACAAACAAGGTACCCGCCTCATCGGTATTCACAAGAACAACACCATAGCCCTGGGGTAAAACTCAAAAGATAAATAATGCCCATAAATAAATAAAAACAGTATCAAAGATGCCTCCCTAACTTACTATAAACGCAATGTCTCTCCAAATGATTAATAATGCCCACAAAACAGAAAAACAATATCAAAGATGCCTCCCTAACGTACTATACTTGTGATGTCCATCCACAACATTACAAAACTAAGACCTTCAGTCATCCACAACATTACAAAACTAAACTGATGCAATGCATTCTCAAGTAGACATGCAGAGTGGCAGATTCTCTTCAATTCTTGAACACTATGATCCAATAATTGGCTTGTGCTGTAGATGATTTCTTTTATGGATTCCTCTTGGACTGCCATTTTTAACATATGCAACAATTTTTATTTCTATTTTCATCATGCCAGTTGGGCTCATGTTTGGGGGGCTCCCTTGGCCTCAAGTAGGTGGATAGCTTATACCCTCTTTTGTATGGTGTTTTCCTTTTTAATGCAAGCCTTTGTTTCCTATCAAATAATAAAATTGGCTCGTGCAATTTTTCTTCATTGACCATCAATTCCACAAAAATAGTGAACCTTCCATAACGTCCAATGAAGGAAGCAATAAAAGATACTGGGTGTGCAAATGGACTAAAATTTGGAAGTGAAAGAATAATGTTTGCTAGGTAGGTACATGAACTCCAGATGCTAAACAAATAACTATTGACTCTCCGAAACAGTCATGAGGTTCACAAGGTATTGTTGGATAAAGTATGGCTTCTAGACCTCTTCAAAATGAAGTTTTTGATGATTTTAACAAGACAAATAGTAAGTAAACCATTTCACAATTACTTCCCAACGGTAATAATTTAAAAGAGCAGCTCAGCCAGTGTTTCATCAAATAAGATTGCCAATAATCAATTTCTTTATCAATAAGTTTTTCATTAAGTAGCCTTCATTGTTTTATCCATTTTTGTTAAAAAAATCATGAACCACCATTCTGCTTCCGGCTATTTTTTTCTAGAATCACGGCAGAAATCATTTTGTTCAAAACTATACAGCCCAGAAGTCGAACTGACCGCAACCGATGGTCTTAATTCTAGTGGTGTGTCGAAAAATGGTCAATTATAATATCATGTTGAGCAAGTAAATATCTAATCAATCGACAGATTACTGCAGACCCAACAATATCATTTCCAATGTCGTCAACTCATCTATAGATCGAAAATACGCACAATTATAGTAACATTTCAAAGATAGAAGATGAATTTAGTAGTAAAGAAAAGGTAAGAACTATAAAAGATTCAACAGAAATTACCGCGCGAAAAATCAATAAGGACAATGCTGAAATTGGAGGGAAAGAAGGGCAAAGCAAACGCTGGAATTACACAATTTAAATTTCAAAACGAAAACAGAACCACTACAAACCTCAGCAATGACTTCCTCCGCTTCAAGCAAGCAATCCAATTTCACACGCGAAACAGACCGCGAAACGTGCTGCAAGAACAGAGAAAGAAACCAGTGTGATTGGGAGCGGTGAGAGTAAAAGGAAAATCAAGAAACCGAGATGAAACCTCAATCTTGGTCCATTCGAGGGCGTCCCAGCTATAGGCACCGTCCATCTTCTCCGAATCAGGAGCATCCCTGAGAGACTTGGAGCGACTGGTGCGTGGCTTTGGCGCTGCCATGTGCGGCGAACCGACTCCGAAATTCCCAATTGTACGATACGAAAACAAATTTCAACGAGAAATGGAAATCGGAGAATTTCTTTGTTATCGGTGGAAGCGTAAGGCTAAAGCTGTTACGTCTTCTTCTAGTTTTTTTTTTCCCTTTTTTGATCAAATCTTCTTCTAGTTCTGTTCTATCCTATATTTATTTATTTTGATTTTTAACTTTAAGCACCATATTTATTTCAATTTTCAGGTCAATTTTGTATGAATATTACATTCGAGGGCTTTAAAAAAATATATATATATATTTTAACTTTCGATTTCTAAGAAAAGAGAGAGAGGAACGTTGAGGTATGCTTAAAAAAAATATGATTTTTTTTATTGCATGCATAGCAATTTAACTCAAAATAATAGCAAATTTATATAGTTTCTTTTTACGACCAATATGAGGTATGGGAATTTAAATCTCTATCCAAAAGTAGATATCATGAGCTCATATTCTCCACAAGAATTTATAAATTATAGCACGATGTTGATGTCTCCCCTAAAAAATTATCATATTTGTAAAATCTTATTCATTTTTTTATAATTAGGAATCAGAGCTTTCCTCTCCTATATCTAAGGGCACCTGTCTCATGGCTCGGATAAAAAAGACATCAAAGATTTTTTATATTAAATTCATTGAAATATATGAACTTGAGACCTCTGAGCAATTACGACCAAGAGATCTCAAATATTTGCCAATCTGACTACCATTTGGATGCGCAAAATCCTATCCTCTCAAGTCTAATTCTATGTACTGTATTTTGTTTCTCATTTCAATAAATGAGGGAAAAATTGAACATTCGACTTTGTAATTAATGTTTATTCACTAAATTATGTTCATTTCGACAAGCTAAATGTGCTTTAAGAAGAAATCAGTTTATCATATGTTACTTAAATAGTAATGTTTATCTCGTGTACTTTATAACTCCATCAATTTAGTTGACTGAATTGTTAATAATTATATGACCGGTATATTATTTAAAGTTCAAACTTACACGGCACAAAGGTAAAACAGGTGAATTTAACATAAGACCTATTAAACACAAACTTGAAAGTTTGATTAAAGAGATACAACCTAGAACCTTTAATGATGTTAAATAAACAAAACCTCCCTTTTTTATTTACTTTTATTTCTCCTGGTAACCTTCATTTTTCAAATCTTAATAAACAGTACTTAAAAAAACAGGAAGAATCTGTATGGTACATCATATTAATGGTAACCTAGTAAAATTACCACAACCATTTAGAAACATTTCTTAAACCTTAATCCATTTTTTTAAATATAGAAACAAAATAGAGTTTGGGAATCATAACCCAAAAGTGGAGAACAAAAGTACAACTTACACTGTTAAATATGTTAAGACTAATTTTTGTTTTTTCTCTTTTAACAATTTTTTATAATGTAAACTATATTTGAGTTCATCCACCTATTGTCAAGATGAAAATTCCAACTTCAAATTTTGTTGAACTATGCACAAATTGACCTGAAGTAGGGATGAACATCGATCAGTTGGAGTAGATTTTTAGCCAACCTCGACATCGAAAATCGACCTAGTCGATTTCCAGGTTTTCTAAGCAACTTTGCACCAGCCAATGGGTTCGATCAATCGGTCTATCAGAAAATTAACACAAAGATATTAAAAAAGAAAAAGATTGGAGGGGGCACGAGTCGTGGGACTGTGGCGCTGCGAAACGAAGAAGATGACGACAATAAGGATGAGATGGAAAGCGAGAAGATGAAGAAGAAGAGGGTCGTCGTAGGGTGGCCTACGCCGCCACTGGGGAGTGGGACAAAAAAGATAAATAAAAGTAAGAAAATAAATAAAGAAAAAAAGATAATTTAGAAAATAAAAAGCCTAAGCAACAACACAGCAGACCGCATTAGTTTTTTTTTTATTTTAATAAAAATAAGTGGTCGATCGGCAAAAAATCATTTTCCCGATCAAACCGACCGATCATGAACCTTATTTTTCTCTCTTTTTTCTTTTTTAACCGACTCCAACAGTCAATTTTGATCAGTCGGATCGATTTTCCGGCCTTCTATGTCACCCCTAATTATAAGTAACAATGAAGTCACCAACCCAAAAAGCACTCGTCAATTTGAAGGATATAAACAACCCACAAAAAATTCAACTAGTTCAAAGAGGAGGTTCTAATACTTTTATTGTCTTCCAAATGGTGGATAATTGTGGTGGTGCAATGATGAAAAATCCCAAGATCCATATCTTTCCTTCTATTGTTCCATCTTAAAGGGTGCTGATTCATTTCACCACTCACACCACAAGTGGAAGGCAAGTCTCAAGATTGAGACTTGTGATGGCCTATTTTCCATGGGTGAAAAGGACCACAGAGCCCAGCATTCAGATTGTGGTGGTGTTATTCAAAAAAGAGGTAAAAAAAAAGGACTGATCCTAAAATAAGCTTCTAGCTAGGAGAAAATTATCAGTCAAATGGAGAGGGAGAGAGAAGGAAAAAGAAAAAAGAAAAGTCGACCAAGTCAAACCACCCATACCTTCCACATTGAAGATGCTAACTTAAACTTAACTCGACTGATTAAGGCGCTGAAAACCTCCGCTCCCAAAGAAAACTCAAAGAATACATGTGGATAAGGATGAGAATTAAAGCGAGCAGTGGCAGAAGGATCCAATAAATTGAAATATACCAAGAAGTCAATTCAATGGCAGCCAAACATATAGTGAAATCCATGAAGGGTGGCCGCGGCAAGAACCAGAGCTCATTTCTGGCCAACCTGATAAAAGCCAAGGCAATCATAAAATCTTACAAGCAATATATTGAACAGGAAATGGAAAGGATAGTAGCTATTTGCAAAGAAATTTACGCAGATGCAACAAACCCGGTCCTGATTCTGTATGTAAAGGAAAACCTATATATATAGAAGATATTTTACATATCTGGAGAACGTATTACTGATACATATACAACTTTCGAGTAATGACATTGACAACTTAATAGTGGCAAACCATACTTGTGCGAAGATGGGGATAGACCCCATTTGCACCAGCTGAATAACTCTATAAAAGTAAAAGAATGTTAAAAAGCTCAAACCTAGCTCATCAATAATGACGATTGGCGTCAACTGTGTAGCCAGGGCTCTCTCTCCCTCTCTTGTGCCGCTTGCAGTGGTCGAGATCCGTCGTATAGAACTGAGGAGGCCTCATGTTGTTGAACGATTGCGCTGCAATTCAGAGTTGGCAATACCAATAATATGGAAAAGAATGTTACCCAACGATATCCAAATATTCATCATGTATTCTACTGCTGGCACACTCATTGAGAGCTTTTGCATTGAGTTCCCTACCAAACCTCCATAGGTAATTCAGGCCAACAAGAAGTTCGGTGATGATTGCTTCAGTCTTTTCTTGATTTGCAAAGAAAAGGGTTTGTACAAGAAGCATATTAGTCCTGGAAACAAAATTCTGTTGTTCAAAACTACGTTCAGATTGCCATCTAACCATGTTGTGAGCCAGTGGAGCAAGCCATTCTAGTATCCCAGTTATTGCCTCACTCCACTCTCCTGCAAGACCTGTGTCATAAGCAGATGAAGACAAGCTCTTGGCATATGGCTTTAGGGATGCCCTAAGGCTAGCTCGAACTTTGGCGGGCAGCATATTGTAGAGATCATCTCTAGCATCCAGGCCAATCAAATGAGGAGATGCAGCAAGCTTCTCAATTACAATAATGACATTTGCATAGTGCAGTGCCAAAGCAGCAGCACCTAGAGTCTCGGGTGGGGCATCCAATAATCGGCGCTTGGCACCGAGCAACTGTTTGCAAGGAATGGTTTTGTTGCAAGGATCAACAATCTTTCCAGCATCTTTGGTTCCATTGAGAAGCTCTGTATGAATCCCATTTGAACTGATGTGGCAATTCGCTACTGGAGAACTAGTGCCAGATATCATGCATCCTTTAAAAGGTCCAACTTGAGTTAGTCTGTTTGGTTTCTGATGAGATTTCTTCCCATTAAATATGGAAGAGTAGCCACCGACAAGCCAATTCTTCTGATTGGTTTTGTTGTGTACTCCAGAAATTGGACCTGATCTCATCGTTGAACTTGTGAGAGGACCTGAATAAGAGTTGAAGTTTCTGTTGGTTCCAGAAACAGGACCTGAAATAGGACCTGATTTTGTAATAGAGCTACCAAGAGGACCTGAATAGAAATTATTGGCTTTAGCAGTTTTTGAAATTGGCCCTGATTTAGTTGTAAACCTCTTCAGGGGACCCGAAGCAAATTTAGTAAGACCGTTGTGCTCTGAAGGATGAACCATGGATTGCATTAATGAAGAAACTGATTGACTACGTGCAATATAGTCAGAATTCATATCTCGTGAATCATTCATTTCACCATTATCTTCACTCTGCTCAATTCCAAATACATGTTTGATCCTACTGAATATTGTGGCTAGGGATCTAGCTAGCAGAAGAATTGAGTAATCATAGGTCCTTTTCCAAAGTGACATCTCTCGCAAATTTTTCACCTCCTGCTGTTTCCATGCAACCTTCTTTTGAAACTCGACTAGATTGATTACATCCGATTCCTCATTAACCTTCATTCTCCTCAACGTTTGCTCAAGATCTGCAAGCATCTCCATCTCTTGATACAAATTTGCATTGACAGAAATAAATGTCTCCATCTTCTTCACCTTATTTTCCATCTTCTTCCATGAGTATATCCAACCATAGGGATCGGCTCCAATTTGAATTAAATCATCAAAAATATGCTCGAAGTTTTTTAAACTAGGATCACTGCATTTCTTTCCCAGTCTGGCAACAGATTTAGCCACATGAGCTAAACTCTCGGTCATCTCTGCATATATCAAACGAACTATATGCTCGTCGTTATCTGACACAAGCTTCTTTATGCCCAATGAACTGTTTATCTCTTCTCTCAGCCTCCTGACTTGCTTATCGCTCAAGGACTGCCATAGGTGAACCAACTTGGACATCAAGGTAGCAATTTCAAATGCCAATACTCCAATTACGACCTTCTGCGTGCTAGACTCACGCTTCCTTGGAGGCTTCCACAGACTGCGAAACCAAGATTCTGAAACCATTTCTTCCCAACTCGAAGATTAAGATATTTAAGATACTCACAACCACATCCCTAATTCTGTACCAAAAAGGAAAATCATAAACTTTAATTAACTTAATATAAGTTCATAATAGGAAAATTTCTGTAACAAGACGAGAGAAACATCCATCAACTTAAGGAAGCTAAGAACTTCCATCCATCACCAATTCATAAGATATAAGGCACATAAATATGTGCAAAAGCCTGTTAGACCAAGATACTAAAACTACAAACAATTACAATTATGTTCAAAGTTACAAGCAAGCACAAAATTGCAAGATCGACAAATCAAATGACAAATCAAATTAACCTTCCATGTCCTGAAAAGGTTCGTTCCACTAACACACCGATCAAATCAAAATTCTCTTAGCTTTCCTCCCCCTTTTAGCTTCACTCAAGAAAAGGGAAAGCAAGAAAAGAAAAAAGAAGCAGCCGAAATATGCCAATTTCGATTGGATCTTTACCAGATTTCCTAAGCCACCAAACCGGAATCGAATCCCAACATAAAAAAAACGAGGGATTCACAAGCTCCTACGCTAAAAAAAACAGGATCCAAACACCCAAATTTCACCACCTTCACTCAGTATCCTATCAGCAACACGACAAATATTCCCAAATCCTCCAACCTTCAATCTTCTGAACAACGATTTGCCAGCTTAGAACTTGAAACGCTACTGAGCTCCCGAATAGCAGATTCAGAAACTTGAGAAATTAATGATTACTATCCTTAAATAGAAGATTTGTTCAACAAGAAAAAGAAGAAAAAAACAAAGGACTAACCGGTCACATGCAGACGGAAAAGCCCAACCAGAAGTCTTCCATCGGTGACGAAGAAGAACAGTTTAGAGAGAGAGAGAGAGAGAGAGAGAGAGAGAGGGAAGAAGCGACGAAGCTGCTGCAGTAAGGACTTGGACTGGACCACATGGAAGAAGGAGAAATATAAAAAATAATGAGCGAAAACGAGTGGAATTAAAGTGTCGCTGTATATTTATTTTTTTACAACTTTTTTATTTTCACACCCTCATTTTCTGCCGCTTTTACTTCTCGTCGCGGAAATTAATTGAAAATTAATGATAATGAAATCAAATCGTAATGCTATCCTAGTTAGTAAACTGTTTGGAATCGAAATTGAAATTGGACGTATAATATACCTATTTATCATCTTTAGCTAGTTAATTTTTTAAAATTATAATGATAATAAATTTTAATTTAATTTATTACTATATTATTAATAGTAAATATTTTTTGTTATAATAATTTATTTAATATTAATACCTAACGGATAATTAAAATAAAACTACATCAAATAAAATATTTTTTATTGTAAGAACCAAATTTTAATATAATATATTATTAAATTTTATTATCCTAATATTTAAAAGTAATAATATCTATTTAAAATTTATTGATATTAATTAATATTAATTTATCATATTATATAATAAAATCACATCAACTAATAAAAAATAAAGAATAAATTATAAAAGTATAAAAAATTTAATTAAAAATTATATGGATATAATTCATAGATAAGAGAGAAATGGTAAAAGTGATACATTAATTATAATATATATTTGGGGTCCAGAAATGGGATTGAGGGGTTGTAGAAGTGTGAGGATCACACTACAAAGTAGGTCCCACCATTTCATTACATTCCTACACGTTTGTAAACACCATCAGAATCAAAGTTTTCATTATGATTACGATTGCGGGTAAATAAATGGGACCTTATTTTCACTAATTTTCAATTTTTACCCCAAACTTTTATAAATATTGCAATTTTTACTCTCCACTCGAGTTAAAAAAATACTTAGTTCCCGACTGATGAAGATTTACCACCGATAACTCATTCTTCTATTATATTTATCTGTTTTAATTGTCAAATATTTTAGAGTAGCCAAATAAATTTGTATGTCTCTTACATGGTTAATATAACCATAAAATGTATATTGATGTAAAACTCAATGAGAAGAGGCGTTGGGTAACTCTCATAATTGATCTAAAAGAGACATCAATCTCTACCTTCGTAAACTTCGTCCATCTGAAGATGTCTATATCGCCACAAAAGTCGTTGAATTAATGCTTGTTCATGAAACATGTATATATACATTACACGATAACTCTATAACAATTGTTGAATATAACAATTATCCTTCTCAATTCTATAGCAAAGTCATTATCGAAATGAGTCCGTCACTTCAGATTATTAATGAGTCATTTCATTACAAAGGGATAGATAGAGTTCACATTTTAGCACTAAATAATGTATATATGACGGTCGTTGTAGTGTGAACGTCTTGCATTTTGGTCAAGGATGGTGGATATCAGTAAAGTATCGCTCAATAAAGATAGTCGTAGATTGGTAAAATCTGCGTGACTTTAAATTATTAATATGCTACGGAAAACTGCAACAACTAACATAGCAACATTTGATCATAAAAAGGTTCTATAGTCTTTTTTTTTTCCTTTTTTAATTTGCAAGTCCCTCTAGCTTCACTTAACATTCAATGAGATTGTTTTTTTTTTTAATACAACATGTTGGGGAGGGGATTCAAACTTACAACCACTTGGTTGGAGGTATATGCCAATTACTGCTGAGCTATGCTCGCTTTGACAATCAGATTGTTGTTTTACTCCAGATTAATTCTGTATGTTGATTTTTATTGAAATCAATAAGTGCTTATTGATTAACAATGTCAAGTTTAAAATTTAAAATTAAGAGCATTTTTTGTGAATTAAAAATAAATTTATTTTACTCGTTAGATATTGTTTAATTAGTATTTCCATCGAATATTTTTATTGATGTTATTTTTAAAATACATTTTTCTTAAAAATTTGAAACATCGGTATTTGTACTCGTACCAACATTTTAATTTAAAATTTTAAAAATAAATTTCTTTAATTGGTTAAATATTGTTTAATTAGTATTTCCATCGAATATTTTTATCGATGTTATTTTTAAAATACATTTTTCTTAAAAAATTGAACATCGGTATTTCTACTCATACCAACATTTTAATTAAAATCCTTGATTTGTCACGAACTCTAAAACATGTTTGAAGTCTCGACTAAAATTTAAAATATGAGTTATTTAAAAAAGAAAAAAAAGGAGTTAAAAATACGAAGCCCACTTTTTAAAACCCTTCAAAATAATTTTAGTTAAAATTAAAAAAATGTCTTTGGGAGTTAGATTAAAAGACTCATACAATTGCTATTTTATCAACATAATCATTAATAAAATAAAACCATTAACAAAATCGTTATCCTAAATTACTTGAATTTAATCAATTAAATTCTCAATAGGTAATATAAATTCTCAATATCAATCAATTATTTTAATTTGTAACTTTTAGAAAATAATTATTTAAGTTTATAAATCACAGCATATATATATTTAGTCACTAAACTTTTTTAAAATTTTCATTTTGCAACTTAATATATGTTCACCTTAACGGTAACTTTATACCACATGCCAACAATAACATATTAATATACATATGTGAAGTAATGGTTGGATTTTGGCAAAATATTAGAATTGAAGTTGTCCCACGTTGGAATAATACAAGGGATGGTCTCCATGTGTTCGAAGTTGTCCCACATCCGAAGAGGAGGTGTGTTTCAACTACAATATAAACTGAGCTCATGACTTTAGTTTTAGTCATCCCAATTAAAATATTTAAGCTAGTTAACTGAGCGATATCTTTTTGTGGATTGGTGGTTTTTTCTCTGGTTTTGAGTTTTTCCAGGTTAATTCTTGTATTTCTTTATTTTATTATTTTCTTTAAATTTCTCAATTATTTTTTGCTTGAGTTCGACATCAACAAAATGGATGAATTAATATTTTTACAGTACAACGAAAAGATGGACAAAATATATATGTAAAAAACAATGTACTAGTATTAATATAGACATAATATTAATAATAGGATTTTCAAATTGATTTTAAAATGGCTAAAATGTGTATTTCTTAATATTAATAATGATATCGACATTTTATCGAAATTGAAACCTCGACATTTCTATCGATATTAATATTTAAGGCTTTGTGTTGAAATCATGGTATTAACATTTCCATCGACATTTCCATGTATCTATAGATCTGACATCGATATGAACGGTAAATCGACGTTTCTATAATATTTAAAAAGAATCGCAAAATATAAAAAAATATCAACAAAATGTCACTAATATAGATACAATATTAATATTAATTATTTTAACTTATTTATAAATGATGAAATACTTATTGTTATTTAAATACTTTTTTACGAATTTTTTACTTTTATAATTTTTGTATCTATCGATAATGATATTTTATCAGTATTTTCATTGACATCTAGACTTTAATTGAAATAGCAAAGAACGTATTTTCCACTATTAAAATAAAAGTTGTGATTTTTTCAAATAGAAAAAGAGAGAGAAAAAAAAAGGAATTTTGAATGAATGTGACATTTGAAACGTGTAAATGAGTCAAGTGATAATTTCGTAGAGATATTCAACACGTAAAAGCCACAAGGCTAAATATTTGNGTACAAATATTTGACTCTTTTAAGTTTAATGGAATACTTGTTACACACGTTTCCTATCCACATAAGCTTTCCTCGTTAAATATAAATATAGGTTAAATATACATTTTAATTATGACTCGGAAAAGTAATTTTAAATATGGTAAAAAATAGGTTAAATATACATTTTAGTTGGGAGTATTATTTTTCAACTTGGTTTCTATTAATTGAAAGTTCCAAGTTAATCTCTCATGCTTAACATTTTTCAATTATACTAATTTTATTGGTGAATGTTAAATTTTTTTAATGACAAATTTACTTTATGAGTTGCAATTAATTTGTAGAGAAAATCAAGTCTTTTAAAAGAAATAAAGTTTTTATTTTTTGGTAAATTTTATGAAAATTGAATGAGATATTAGATACTTTTATTTATTGAGTCACTTGGGACTCATTTATTAACGCTCTCGTTTTTTTTTTCCTTATTTTCTAATTTTAGAAGCATAAGCGTCTGATAATTGTTCATGTTATTAAAATTATGTATAAACTTTGAAAACAACAAAATCAATTTTCTTATTTATTGTTTATGATTTCCATTTTTTCACCCGCATAAAGGTGTTATTTTATCATTTTTTTACTTATATAATGCACAATTAAAAAAAAAAATATTGAATATAACATAACAAAATTGAATATTCAATTCAAAATCTCATTTTCCACATAAAAATTTTATTTTTTTAATTTAAAATTTTGAGAGAACGAAGAACAAAAAGTAGTTAAAAATTTTATTTTTTGTTAAAAAAAGGCAACAATATTTGAAGAACATTCTTATGGGATTTAACTTTGAGTGGCATGATGAGCAATGAAGAAGTTGGTCCTTTAATATTGGCTGGCATTCATTACCCACTATGTATCCTTCATTTCTATTGACCTTTTTCTTTTTTCTTGCAATTAATGATATCTTTTTCTTTGGAAGCAAAATAAAAAAATAAAAAACTTTTGAATTTCTCTCAACATAATTAGAATGACTTTAGCCATGGTGTGGTGGTGACCCATTTCCCCCACTAATTTTGGTGTGTGATTGCCAAACAATGAATTAATGTTTTTCTTTAATTTAATTTAATTTCATGGAATAACGTAGGCCCTTAGTTAGTCAAATCAAACTTTGGCAAACTTTCCAATCCAAAAAGAAAAAGAAAACGGTTAATTCTGATTCGCACTAGATATACAATATAATAATATATTTTTTTAGTACAATAAATATTAAGTATGGAGGTCGAAACCTCACCTCTCAAGAGAAGAAGTATAGATCTGCTATAATATATTAACAATAACAAGAAAGATTTTAAGACATATTCTTTAAAATATTTGTAAATATTGTCAATTGTGTTTTTCTAAAAGCAATTGTAAATACATATTTAAGAAAGAAAATACAAATTTCATAAATTTTAGAAAATGGTAAAAAATCGAATAATTTAAATAATATTAATTCCTATGTTTCAATCTATTTTACATGATAATTTTTTTTATTAATGATCGATCAATAAATTGAATAGTCCAACACGAGCTTTAACTCTCGATAATTAACACTTTTTCCTAACCAAAAAGTTATGATTCTATATTATTGAATAGTACTATAAAATCAATATATTGAATAACTAGAATCTTAGATCTATATATTGATTAACTACGAATCTTAAATTACCATATTTACAAGTATTATGTAAATTACAAAATTATGTCACGATCGCAACTACCACCAAATGGAAATATAATATTACATTAAAATAAGCAACCTTATCCATTTATAAATTAATGATTAAGTAACATGGATAGAGAATGATAATTATTAATTTAAAATTCATAAAAAAAAATGGGTCATTTTAAAATTCAATAGATCAAAATACATCAATCTTAAAGGTTAGAGACTAGGTCGATATGTTGAAGCAGGTATTACATTTTCATTGAAATTTCTATATGTTTATGAACTATGAATTCGACATCGACAAAAAGTTTGTGTTTAATTATTCTTTGAACTCTTAGATTTCTGTATCTAATAGGTATTTGAACTTAGAAAAATATCTAATCACTATAAGAATTATAAGCTTTACCGACGTATTTTTTTTCCCAACGCCAAAAATAGTTGTCGGGAAAAGACCTCTTTCCCGACAAAATGTAAATTGATATATTATAAGATCTACTAGTTACGTTTTAAGTTAAAAGACCTACTAGATACAACGTTAAAAAATTCTTAGTCAAATTCTGTAATTTAACTTTTATATTTTCGATTTCGATCATTTTAGTACCTAAACTTTTAATCACTTTTCATTTTAGATTTTAGATTTTTTTTCGTCAACTTCTGTTAAACTCCATTTGATTTTTGCCAAAGAACAACTAATTTCTAGATTAGGTAGGACTCGTGATATACCACACCATTATTATTTATATGTTATATTAAGAGTTACCACTTTTCACCATGGAAACTAAATATAAAATTTAATTAGAACGATGAATATTGTCAACTCGATTTTAAAAAAAAAAGACTAAGAAGAAAGAGGAGGTGGCAATGGTGCAAGATAGAGACCAAGAGAGAAGACTGAAATGATATAGCTCGATTAATTAAACACATGTAAACAAACTACAATTTCATAATACATAAAAAATATGTTAACCTTACGACATAGAAAAAATAGGAGAGAACCATGCAAAACTATTTAAAATTTAAAACGGATCTATTTTAACTTTTCAATCAATATTTTTAAATTGTTGTTTGTCACAGCTCAACTGATAAAATCTAATTAACTAATCTAAAATACGAATCATAGGTTAAAATTTTATATCCAAACTTTATGTATATATTGTCTATTAGTAACGGTTCAATTGATGAAGTTGAGATGGCTTAAAACACTATTTCACGATCACTCTTTGTATTTTTGTAAAAAAATTATCGATTCAAATCTCCTAATTACTTACCATCTCCTTTATATCTATAAGTTTTTTTTTCCTAACAAATATGTGAAAAATAATATAATTTTAACTAAAGATTGTGAAGCATTGCAACTATTAATGACAAAAGTAAAGAAAAAAACAAAGTTCAATAGAATTTTTTTTCCATTTGTATAAAGTTTTGTAATTGCAATATTAATTAATTGTATAAGTATATGATTGATATACCAACACAACATTTGCCCCAAATTGGCACTATCTCATTTATATAGCAAACCATGCAAGTCAATCATCATCTTAAATTCCAAACGCACAAAAACGATATATATATATATATATATATCCCATTAATTGATTATTCAACACCCACCAAATTATATATATTATTTCGTTTTGGCCATTGAAAGATATTGACAATGAATGATAACACCAACAAATTAAATGGTGCATTTAAGCCACTCTTCTACCCAATTTTATTAGGTAAAAAAATCCTAAAATTTATGCATTAGAGTCAAGGTTTGGTCAAATATCACAAGCTCGAATAAATTATGTTCACGTTTGCGATAATACAGTATGTATCGTAAGTTTGTCTCGAACAATTAGGAGCACTGACAACCATTTTTTATCACTTTTTTTAAGTTTTTTATTTCCATTTCACAAAATCGCAAAGACTTCTCTTATTCATTTGTCTTATTATTATTATTATTATTATTATTATTTTAATTTAATATATTTTTTGCATTTAAAAACATAAGGAAAAAAAATATAAACAAAAAGATAATTATTTTTTTTAAAGATCAACTTTCTACCATATGTAATTTGGATTGTGAAAAAATTACCAAGTTTTATTTGTTGCAAGGAGAAAAACATAATTTTTTTGTTAACAAAAAGCTAGTGGGTTGTTAAATTATTATTTTAAATTTGGAAGATATGAATTTTGTGGTAGAATTTTATTGGTGTGGGATGAATTTTCACGTACCAAAGAGGCATTCAAATATAGAGACTTAAAATAATCCTGCGTTGTCCAAAAATTCCCACACTGGTAAAAAAAACATGCGCACATACACATCATTTCCTGAGCTTTTCTATTTTATCCCCCATATCTTTTTTCTTTATAACAGGGAGTCCGAGTTTTGCTCTCCTATACCTAGGGGCACCCACGCCTAAACCTTGGAAGGTGAGAACTTGATTTCTAAACCAGTATAACCAAAAGATCCCAAACCCTTGCCAACCGAGTTACCCCAAGTTACTCATATACTATGACTATATGACTGAGAAGGTAAAGAAATATAAACGACATTTCAAATCTTAAATTGATAAAAGAAAGGAGTAGAGTAAGAGTCGTCATACTTGAGGTTAAATGCACACAGCTGAATCTGCCTGCCTCAACCGATAAAGTTAGCTCTTGAAACAAAAATTCATAATGATTACTAATTTCAACTTAAATCTCTGCACTGACATAAGTAGAATTAATAGGGTTCAATATCTCAGTAGTTACCATATCGATGAAAAGGTAGCATAATCTTTGTGTATGAACGACAGCATATAAATGAGATGGTATGAAACTTCTTCAGAAATCATCCAAGTGAGGAAGATAATAACAGAGATAGTGCAACCAACTCAACCGAAAATGCTTATTGAATAACAAATGAAGCCTTTACTTGGTCATGCACTTAAATGGGCATGAATGCACATGTCAAAGGAACTTACAATTAACATCTCTCTTTCAGTGTCTATAATTAATTTCTGCAGATATTAAAGAGATTATCACGTAGAAGTATAAGAACGCAACAATGCTAATCGATCCCCAATAACAAAAGCCTTTTCTACCATCAACCTGCACATTATGCACAATTAAACCAGTCAGTAGCGTGAAGAAAACCAACCAAAAGGACACAGAATATGACCTTGATACTTCAGTGATTACAGCATCTACGTGGTTTGTAGTGCTGAAGTGGAACACTGGAAATGAAGAGTAGAATTCATAGTAGATAAATTAAAACTTAAAAAGGATATAGTTGAGCTAGTATTCGTATCTTGTTCAAGAAAGAGATAGCTGGTAAATGTAATATTAAAAAAAAAATGCTGCTTATCTCAAAATGGGACATGGAATATTCTTAACCAAGTTAATTAAACAGAATGTTTTTTCTTGCCTAGAGTATGGAAGAGAAGAGTGAAGACTTGGGAGGAAGAGTAAAAATTAAAGAATATGAGATACTAATATCTTCTTATAAAAAATGGGGGAATCATAAGGATTATCAGAACCAAGATATGCATTCTTGAATAGCTTAGCTTGTTCATATATATCTTATAGTCAATAAATCTTTAAGAAAATTTCACCATGCTAATAACCAGTACAGTACTACAAATATGACTCTAATACTTATAACTGGACCTGACTAGTTGAAACTTTAAGTGCAAACATAAATAAAGCCCAGCAACTGCCTCTTAATCTTTGATGGAAAAATACCGCAGCTTCTATCAAGAACAGCTTACAGATTCCAATAATAATGTTCTGTATATTACAATGATGAACTAAGGGGCAGTTTTTGGGGGTGGAATTTGTGTCGTCAACCTATAGGGTTTGTTATTTTTCTAATTTCTTCCTTAGCAGAATGCGAGAGATTACCTTTTGATTTACCAGAAGCAGAAGAAGAATTAGTGGCGGGTTATCAAACCGAGTATTCGGGTATCAAATTTGGTTTATTTTATGTTGCTTCCTATCTAGATCTATTAATTCCTTCATTATTTGTAACAGTTCTTTACTTGGGTGGTTGGGATATCTCTATTCCATACATATTCGGTTATCAACCACTTGACAAGAGTTTGGGGTCTCTTGGTCATACTGGCTTACATGGCTTACAGGTCTGAAGTTTGAACTTTCTTGTGAGTTTAATACCAAAAATCCTTAATATCTCCCGGATCCGAGCCTTAGGGGTGGATGCGGGTACCTTGGGTATAGGGGGGCAAAGCTCTGATTTCGAGTTATATAAAAATAACGATGGACCAATATCTATCAAAATCAATTTCACTGGCGATGAAGTAAAATCATTTGCAGGGCATGTACATGAAGGACAAGAAGAATTCATGGCAAACGAACATATAACTCAAGTCAAACCGCATCCAATCCAAGATAATGATTTAATTATTCAACATCCAAGAAATCAATTTATCATATACAAGGATTCAAAAAATGGAACTTAATACATGAATATCCTATCCCAGCCTTCACTATCAAAAACTCGGTACAAGTTGAGAAAAAATGACGTACCAAAATCTACCAGGAGGATTTCTTGACACCCATTATAAGACCTTTGGACGCCAGATCACGGAAAACGATACGAGAAACACGGAAAAGCTGGTAGACAGCCCTAGGCCGGCCGGTGAAAATGCAGCGATTCCTCAGTCGAGTAAATGAACTGTTTCTGGGCAACTTCGACAGCTTATAACGCTGCTCTTCTCGCACATCATTGGGAAGACTCGGATCATTGCAAACGGCTTTGTAAAGCTTCCGCTTCAACTCAAACTTCGCAGCGAGCTGTCGGCGGTAGTGATCAAGAATGTTCCGCTTGTCCCCCGACATCCGGTTTGATCTAATTTCGTCAATTCCATCAATTTCATCGTTTCAATACCAATCCAAAAGCCTAGAAATATACTTGTTCCAACTGTTTCAAAACGGGCTGAGACTAAAAACTTGTAACGGAGAATATAAAGAGAAAATAGGAACTACGCTACCTTCGACCTTATAAATCCTCTGCAATGGCGACCTCTGAGCAAACCACGGAAGCGAGAGAGATGGAAGAGAGCAAACTCGACTGAAGAAGAGGCGAGGCGTGCGACGAGGGAAAGGAAAATAAGGGCGGCGGGCCTGGCAATTAATAATGGGCCGGCCCAGTTATACTATCCTTGGGCCCTATATTATTGGGTTTATGTTTAGGGTTTAGCTCTCTGGGCCAGAAAGCTTGTTCGGGCCCATCAAAACAAAACCTTGTTTTGAAGATTTGCTTTTTGTTTTTCAGTACTTTTAAGATAGCAACTTAATAAATAGTTTGGAAAAAATAAAGTAGGTTAAAAGACACCTTTTTTTTATCTATACTTATAGTAACGATTTAGTCTTTAAATTTTTGTCAATGATGATTTAGATCCTATATTTTTAAATTAGTAATCATTTAGTCTTAAATTTTAGTATGTAAATCATTACCAATCTGACAAATTAAGTTGTTACAAATTAAAGTTCAGGAACTAAATCGTTATTTCAACGATAATAGGTAGATCAAAATACTTTTGAACCAATCAAATATTAATGTGTATTTCACACATATGAATGTATTGAAATTAACATGTGCAATTTAATTAATATTTAATAAATTATAATGGACCACAAGACTAGTGGTTATAATTTTTTGCATGCAAAAACAATTTTTAAATATGATATATTTTCTCTTGTATATCACTAATATATAATTTTGTAGGATCTATAAAATACCTAATATAATTTACATCAGTCTATATAATTAATATAGAATATGTTATCACACGACAAATATGATATTAACTAGGGCAAATATGTTATTACTAGTATAGGGCAAATATGTTATTACTAATAATATTTACATGCATTATTTTTCCTTATACATTAATATGCATACCACTCAATATATATATATTATATTTTTAATAATTAAAATATATTTTATGACTTTTTGTTTTTACATTGCAACTA